AGTGGGAGTCGGGGGAGGAAGCTGAGGAGTAGGCTAGAGCCAGGTGGAAAGGAGCCCACTTCTTCAAGGATGAGGAAGCTAGGAGCTTCGAGAAGGGCTGGGATCCAAAGCTCAGGTTACAGCAGGAGAAAGCCTAAACCCACACCCACCTCTGGTGAGAGGGTGAGATGTGCAGCGTTAACTCCCTGGGTAAGGTGAGAGCTAGTCGGTAACTGAGCTCCCAGCTTGTCCCAACCCAGCTCTCCCTCTGCAAAGCAGCCTACCCACCCGCCTCTGGGCCTGTGTACAGTGGACACTGGGTGGGGAGGGGCGGGGGACAGTAAGAGGGGAAGAGAGGAACCCATTCACTCCCAGGGGCAGAGGCTTACAAAATAGCTGTTCCCAAAACTCTTGTCTATTGTTGTGACATGCTCTTTATTTCCACCTTCCTTAGAGAATTAAAATCATCTCCTCTTGTAGATTTCTCTAATTATAACATGCTTATCATAGAACATTTAGAAAATGCAGAATCACAGATGCTAAGCACAAACAACTTGTACCGTGCTGGGACCTAATTGATATGTTTATGTAGATACAGCTTAGCATCCTTGATTGTTTTTTTCCTTCCCAAATCATGTCATACATGAGAATCCGCTAATCTTCATTCAGATGTTGTTATGTGCCGTCAAGTCGCCTGTAACTCATAGTGACCCTAAGTACAACAGCCCTAAACCCTGCTCTATCCTGTGCCAATTGCACTGCCTCTAACACACCCATCCCGATTATCCCAGTTACTGAATCAACCCACCTCATAGAGGGTCTTCCTCTCCTGTGCTGTCCCTCCACCCTCCCAAGCATGATGTCCTTCTCCAAGGACCTGTCCCTCCTTAAAACATGTCCAAAGTATGTTAGATGGAGCCTTAGAATCCTTGCCTCCAAGGAGAAGCCTGGTTTAACCCTTTCCAGGATGAACCTGTTTGTTTTCTTAGCAGTCTATAGTACATTCAATACTCAGCACCAGAGCTCAAAGGCATCAATTCTCCTTCTATCCTCCCTAGTCATTGTCCAGCTCTCAGATACATAGCAAGTGACTGCAGGCACACTCAGATATACAATGAAATTTTATACATCACTTGTTAATGACTATATAACTTTGCACTTATAGCTGTAACAAAATTTATTTAAGCAATTTTCTGGTGCTACTTCAGATTGTTTTCCATTTAAATGAGAACCCTATTGAGCTACTTCACCTATAAGACCTAGTCCAATCAAGTCCCACCTCCTCCAGGAATACTTCCTGGACTACTGTAACACTAAGCACCATCTCCCACCTTTGAATTGATCTGGTGGTGGCTTAGTCCGTAGGGCCCTGCACTGCTCACCCAAAGGCCACACTCTCTGGTGGTTCGAATCCACCAGCAGCTCTGGGAAACAAAGATGGGCAATCTGCTCCCCATCTGCAACCTCATGGAGAGTCAGCTACGACTTGGTTCTGACTTGACAACAGTGAGTGATTGTGGCTCAGAAGGATCCCATGTGTCAGTCACTGCTCTCTGACTCGTCTCCCTGTGGGTGGTGCTCTCTGACTCATCTCCCTGTGAATGGGGGCACGGCTCCAGGACTGTGCTGCACGCACACATTGCTGGGGGCTCCCGACCCATCCTGCACAACTGACCACCCAGGAGATGCCTAATGTCTGCTAACTGCTTAGAACTCAAGCCTCTCAGATAGTAAGACATCTATCCATTCTATCTTCCTAAAGTCCAGGATTATAGGCACCAGTATTGGTCCAGTAGGAGGCTTAGCTTCCTGTCTGGCTAGTGTCATTCAGACGGGTGACCTGCTGGAGGGACCAGCAGGTGTGGAGGAGGATGGGGTGACAGGGGCAGCCTGCTGGGCAGGGTGCTGTAGACAGCGGGTCCCAGGTAACAGCAGTGACTGGATGGGCAGGAGAGGCCACCACAGAGAACAAACAACTCATTTTCCTCAGAAAATGCAGAATCATATTTTCTAACACCTTTTCTTTCTTTCCAATTTCTCCTACATGTGTCTACACATATTCAATAGCATTGGTTCGAAGTACAAAACTTTAGGTTAGCAGATGCTCACCAACAGCTTACACCACTCAAGCATATGAGCAGTATTTTACTATATTCATATTAGAGTTTAAAAAGAGGTTAAATCGGTCTCCCTGTTGCTTTAAACTAACCCTAGGGACACAGTCATCTCCACTTGACAATCATAAACTTTGGCTAAGATCGCCCATGGCTACAGGGTTTACTCCTCTCCACTCACTCGAGCTTTCCAGTGCTGATACCTCATAACCAATCACGCTCATGGCACGAAGGACCCAGGCTCTATAGCCAAAAGCTGAGGTCGGGACTCCAGGCCAGAAGGGGTCCAGAGGTGTCTAGGGCCTGACTTGGTTTCTGAGGTGATCACATCCTCTGGAGAACATCCTGGATGCCCTATGCTCAGCTTCGGTTCACAGGAACACCCCCTGACCCTGGCCTTGATCTGCAGAGGCTTCTGGATCTGCAATCGTGAGACTCCTCAAGGTTCTCCACCAGCAGGGAACCATCACTGGTCACCACCCCATGCCACAGACACAGCCCCGTGGCAGCCCCTCCTGCCCATCCCTCCTCAATCCTGTTCTTAGAATCACTCTCCACAGCACCCCACCAAGGAAGCTGCCCCGGACTCCCTGGTCTGAATAGCCCTCTCTGTGTTATCCCCCCACTCCCTGCCTCCAGTCCCTATAGCACTTTACATCTGGATGAGGCTCAGCTGCAGATATGCCCACCTCCTCCAGATGTTTTAAACCTCCAGGGGGTTCATTAAGGCCTGGGTAGAACAGTTTGTGCTCAGCTATGTAACTGAAATTCTGAATCCTCTCAGACGACTCACAGAAGAAAGTCCTGGTGATCTCCTTCCATGAGACTGCAGCCACTGAGAAGCTCACAAAGCACAGCTCTGCTCTGGCACGCTCGTTTGGGTCATTCTCTCCAGGGCTTTGCTGATCTGCACACAAGACCCCTTTGAAGGTAATGGGAAAGCTGTCTCAAGACCTGGTTAGCTGAAACCTGGAGTAGGGAGGTGTGGAGGCTGTAAGGATTTCGGACCAAGGCTCCACCCCCAGCCTTTGAGGATGAGAAAAATTAAAAATAATAGCTGCCATTAAGTAATTGAGTTCACTGCATGCCAAGCACTTTACAGACATTCCCATTACCCCAACCTGATGAGGCATGTACAACCACCATCCCGATCTTACAGATGAAGAAACCAGGATTCAGAGGGATTAAGCAATCTGCTAAGGTCCCAGGCCCAGAAGTGGCAGAGTGGAGACTCAATGCCAAGAGCTTATAAGCCACAGTCTGGCTCTCAACCACCATATTAGTGCTGGAGAGCCTAGAACATGGGAGTAAAGACAACCATTCTAGTGACAGGCAGAAGACTCCAGAATACCTTTACTGAGGGGTCACAATTACCTGCACACAAACTTAAAGACTCTCCTCAGAGCCTTCCCTCCAAAATAATTCATGATTTTCTGGTTTGCTGATAGAGGATATGCCTCTCCCACTTCCCAAGTTAACATCTTCCATGATACCACGCTAGGCCCTGGGGGCAGGGGGGTGTCAGAGGTCCCAGGGGTCTGAAGGAGTACTAGAGGTGAAAGACAGCTAAGGGAGGGTGGGGCTGGGCTGAGGGCTTCCTGGGAGCTGTGGTGGCCAAGCTCATCCTGAGAGCTGAGTGCCCCTGCATTTTGGGGCCACCACCCTTACCTTAGGAGCCCAGACACACTGCCCAAAAGAGGCTCTTTCTTCTAGTCCTAGGTCTTCAGAGTAAGCAATGACCTCTAGAAGAATATTCCCTTGTGTGACAGTCACCCTTCCCCCTATACCACACAAATGCCTGTTAAATTCCTCTCCCTGTGCGAAAGGTGCAGGTCAAATCCCACCCAGTCTGTCATCATGGTCACCTCCAAGGCAGAACTGTGTTCCCTCCACTGGGTCCCCACAAATCATCTATCAGACACACATTCAAGTGTTGTGAGGGTCTCTGTCTGTCCATCTATCTCTTTCACACACACAGAATGGCTATACTGTATGTCCCACTCTCCCTTACATGTAGCTGATAGCCAGTGAGTGTCTACTGAATGCAGTTAAGGAAGGTGACCTGTTGAAACACTTCGGGCTCTTGTGTTAACTGCCGAGGTTAACACATGATGAACAATTCAAAGTAGAAAATGCATAAGTCAACTTAAGCAAAGTTGTGGAGGGCAAAGGGGCCTCCTGGCTGTGGGATCTCAAAGACGCTCCCTGTGCCTACCACCTGCCACCTCCTCCCCCTCATCTGAAAAGCCAGGCTGATTGTGCTGGAGGCCATCACTCCGGCAGGGGAGGTGGGGAAGAGGAAACGGTGTGCAGCCAGTCCCTGCTCCTCATTCCCACCTGGTATGTGTGTGCACACAACACACACACACACACACACACACACACACACACAATCAACAGTCCAGTCCAAGGGCAAGCAGACAGACCTCAGGTGGGCTGAATCCTCTCATTCACTGCTTTTCAAACCTTTCTAACCACAGCCTGTAATAAGAAGTATGTTTTATGCTGGGGCTGGGGGGCTGGGTACACACAAACTAAATGCTAGGTGCCACTGAGTCACTTTAGCTCATAGTGACTCCACAACAGAGTGGAACTATCCCACAGGGATTCTTTGGCTCTGATTTTTATGAAAGCAGACTGCCAGGTCTAAGAGAGAGAGAGAGAGAGAGCAGCTAGGCAGGTTCAAATCACCAACCTTAAAGTTAACAGCTGATTATTTAAGTGTTTGTGCCACCAGGGCATCTTAAACTAAACACAGTTGCCATAAAAGTGCCATGGAATACTTCTTATGATGAAGGAGGGGTGCAGACTGGTATCTCCTTTCACCTCCTCTTCCTATTTCACTTCTGAGCCAATTCCACAAAGCCCAGCGGGGCGCGCACGCGGGCTCAATGGGGCCTCACTCACCCAGGGTGTCGGAGCCGCTCTCCACCGTCTCATTGACCTTCCGAGCAACTCTGGCCACGGCCTCCCCCATCTTCTTCAGCATGCAGACAAGGCTGTCCGGCTGCCAGCCCCGTGGCTGGGCTGCTGCTCACAAGGGGGCCTGTGCCTGGAGAAGATGCAGGGCCATGAAACATCCACCAGCCAGGTGACCTACCCGCGTGCCCACCCCACGTGTCCTCCTCCCCAGGGAAGCAGGCTGCCAGGACAGCCCCAAGCCACTCACCTCTGCCAGAGGAGGCCAGAGCCCAGGCCACATCCAGCTCAACTAGGAGTCTGCCTGTCAGAGGGTGGGGGCAGTTGGGCCCTACTGGTTTCCTAAAAGGATGGACATTTGTGACCTCACCAGACACAGGGCCTGGCCTGCGTGCATAACCAGTGGAGTGAGGACTCAGGTGTGTGACTCACTCAGCAGATGTAGCAGTGGGAGGAGCCAGGGCACAGCCAACTGTGAGAGAAAGCCACGTCCCTTGATCCATGCCTCTAAGCCGGCACCTTGTCCACAGTGCTCTGGGACAACTCTTCCAAGTCCCCCACTCTCCCACTCTCCTCCACCAGGCTCCTCCGCGCAGGAAGTGGGAACAAAAAGTTACTTAAACCAAAGCCCCATCCGGACAGAGTTCACAGTCTGACAGGCAGATGAGCTCTAGAAACCCCCTTCCCACCAGCCATGTTATCCTGCAGGCCTAGCGGTACGCAGAGTTCTGGCGCTAATACTCAAGGGGCAGAACGAATCCTGGTGCTGGCACCCAAGGGGCACGCAGCCTGGTGAACCCTACGGAGTGCTTCTAGCCTGCACACATGGGGTTACGAGGAGTGATGATAAACTTGATGGCAACCAGCAATAACAACAACAACATCAAGTCAGCCCAAAGTTGGTTTCTTATAAAAGCCACCCACTTAGCCAAACGGGAGTCCCAATGTCTTCATCTGAGAAGAGGCCTATCTTTCTGGGTTCAACCAGGGATTAAACAAAAAGGTATACAATCCGTCTAGCGCAGGGCCCAGGATCCACAGGGACTCAGTGCGTGCTAGCTGAGAGGATACCAAAGTGCCCATGTGGATGTGACACCTGGATCTCATCCCATTTGAACAGCAGTGGAGCTATAGATGAGCAACTCAGCTCATTCCTTAAGGAATGTTTAGAATCTCCAGCTCCTCACCTTCAGGAAGTCTTCCCTGATTGTCCCGGCCCTTTCTTCCTCCCTCTAATTTCAACAGTCTTAACATGAGCCACTTGGATTGTTTATAAGCTTTTGTATAGAGAGGGAGAGATAATATGGAGATTTATATATATAATGGGTCTATATTGTATCTTCCCTGTACCTTACAACACATGTTGTTGTTACGTTGTTAAGTGCCGTCAAGTCACAGGTGACTCATAGTGACCCTGTGAACGAAAGACCTGGCCACTTGTATAACTTTCATCCTTTCTCCTGGTTCATAGGGTATCTGGAGGCAAGCTATTTCAGAAGTGGATGCCACTCCTGCTTCCAAGCTTGTTTTAATCGGGGAGCTCCACCAAACACTGTCTACAACGGGTAACCATTATCGCATTTGACACATCAGTGTCACAGTGTTCAGCTTCACAGCAACCACGAGTTATCTCTGTAAAGCAGAGTAGTTGTTATTATGTGTCGTCGAGTCGTTTGTGACTCATAGCGACCCTATGTATAACAGCCCAAAACCCCGCTCTATCCTGTGCCAATCTCACTGCCTCTGACACATCCATCCCGATTACCCCAGTCACTGAATCAATCCACCTCATAGAGGGTCATCCCCTCTGGCGCTGTTCCTCCACCCTCCCAAGCATGATCTCCCTCTCCAAGGACCTGTCCCTCCTTGCAACATGCCCAAAGTATGTCAGACGAAGCCCCAGAATCCTTGCCTCCAAGGAGTTGCTTGGTTTAATCCTCTCCAGGATGAATCTGTTTGTTTTTTTGGCAGACCAGGGTACATTCAATACTCTTCTCCAGCACCACAGCTCAAAGGCATAAATTCTCCTTCTGTTCTCCCTAGTCATTGTCCAACTCTCTGATGCATTACAAATGATTGCAAAGACCATGGCCTGTATCAGGCGCACCTTAGTCTCCAGAGAGACAACGTTGCTCTTCAGTACTTTAGAGAGGTCCCTAACTGCAGACTTTCCCATTGCAATATGTTTTTTGATCTCCTGACTGCTGGTGCCAAGAGTGTTGACTATGGAGCTGAGCAAACTGAATCTGTGAACAATCTCAATCTCTTCGCCATCTGTCCTGATGCTACCAATTGGTCCAGTGGTGAGAATCTTTGTCTTCTTGACATTGAGTCTCAGTCTGTGCTGAAGGCTGCAGTCCTTGACCCTCTGCAGCAAGTACATGAGGTCCTCCTCAGTTTCAGCAAGCAGGGTTGTGTCATCTGCATAACGCAGATTGTTAATAGATCTTCCACCAATCCTGATGCCACAATTCTCCTCATAGAGCCCAGCCTCCCGGATAATCTGCTCTGCATAGAGGTTGAAAAGGTATGGAGACAGGACACATCCCTGGCATACATACACCCTTCCCAATTTTGAACCATGCAGTGTTGCCCTGCTCTGTTCTGACTACTGCCTCTTGGTCCAAGCATAGGTTTCGGATTAGCACGATTAAATGTTTTGGGATTCCCATTCTTCTCAGAGTCAGCCACAGTTTGTTATGATCCACACAGTCAAACGCCTTTGCATAATCAATGAAGCACAGATAGACATTCTTCTGGTATTCCCTACTTTCAGCTAAGATCCATCTAACATCAGCTACAATACCACAACCCCTTCTAAACCAAGCCTGGACTTCTGGCAGTTCTCTGCTGATGTGCTGTTCCAGTCGTTTTTGGATAATCTTCAGTAGAATCTTGCTTGCATGTGAAATCAATGATGCTGTTCTGTAGTTTCCACACTCAGTTGGGTCACCCTCCTTTGGAATGGGAACAAATATAGATCTCTTCCAGTCAGTTGGCCAAGTGGTTGTTCTCCAGATTTCTTGGCACAACTTGGTGAGCACATCCAGGGCAGCATCTGTTAGCTGAAATACTTCAATTGGTATACCATCTATTCCTGGGGCCCTATTTTTTGCTATTTCCTTCAAAGCAGCTTGAACTTCTTCCTTCGTCATCATAGGCTCTTGCTCATATGTTATTTCATTAATTTCTTCTGTATCTGCCAATTCCTTTCGCTACAATGACTCAGTATATTCCTTCCATCTTCTTTTAATACTTCCTGGATCATTTAATATTCTGCCTAAGCATCCTTGATTATAGCAACTCCAGGTTTGAATTTGTTCTTCAGTTCCTTGAGCTTAAGAAATGCTGAGCGAGTTCGGCCCTTTTGATTTTCCGACTCTAGCTCCTCGCACATTTCACTGTAATATTTTGAGTAGAGTAGTAAAATATCAATCTCTATAAGCATCAATAAAGGATAAAATTTCATAAAGTCAATCTCCCATGCAGAAGAATTACAAATAATTCATGTAACTACTCCATCCTCAAGGAGACATAATGAACATAAATTAGATGCTCAATTAGTATCCCTTCAATGATGATAAACAGCCATCATTCGGGTTTCAAATCCAAATATAGGTCAGTTGTCTCTTACAATAAATATAAGGCACCATCTAAAGGAGAAACATAAAAAATCCATTGCAATCCTGTCATAACTGGGTCATAGCTGACTCTCCAGCGGGTTTTCAGAGGCTGTAAATCACAGGAGAAGAGATGGCTCATCTTTCTCCCATGGAGCCACTGGTGGATTTGAACCACAGACCTTTGGGTTAGCAGTGCAACTCCCCACCCACTAAGCCACCACCAAAACTCCCTTTGGCATAAATTCAAATGCCTCCATTTTAAAAGGATAAGGAAAACAACTGTATATGGTTCTTAAGGTGCTAAGGAACGCTAGAAACATCTTCATCTGTATTTATGACAGAGAAGGAAACTGAAGCATAGAGACAGGTTAAGTGATCAGGTCAAGGTCAAAGTGAATAAATGACAATTAGCAAGCCATCCCAGAATCCCCTGGTAGAGCAAATCACTACTATATACTCAAAAAGGTCAAGGATTGTAGGCTTCACTGAGGATTGAAGCTGAACATCAAGAAGACAAAGATTCTCACCACTGTGTAATTAATTAGCAGTACCATGATAGATGAAGAAGAAATTGAGGTTGTTAGCAATTACAGATTGCTCAGGTCCACAATCAACACTCTTAACACCAGCAATCAGGAAATCAAAAGACGAATTGCATTGGCAAAATCTGCTGTCATGGACCTCTCCAGAGTGCTGAAGAGCAACAATGTCAGTCTAGAGACAAAGGTGCACCTAATTCAGGACATGGTCTTCTCAATTACTTGTTATTCTTCAGAGAGCTGGACAATGACTAAAGATGACATAAGAATAGATGCCTTCGTGTTGCAGTGCTGGAGAAGAGTCTTGAACATACCAGGGACTGCCAAGAAAACAAATAGGTCTGTCTTGGAAAGGGTGAAACCAAGTCTCTCCTTGGAGGCTAGGATTTTGAAGCTGTCTCACATACTTTGGGCACATGGCCAAGAGATACCAGTCCTTGGAGAAGGACATCATGCTCAGAAGGGTAGAGGGACAGTGTAGGAGAGAAAGATCCTGAATGAGATGGATTGATACAGTATCTGCGGCAATGGGGGTTGATGTGTCAGAATTAGTGAGACTGGCTCAGGGCAGCGAAGGGTTCAGAGCTGCTGTACATAGGTTTGCTATACATCGCAGGTGTCTCAACAGTACATAACAAAACTATACTATATTGGTTCTTTTTTTTTTCCTTTTTTTTTTTTTAGCCCCTTGTTCAGAGTCAACAAGACCCCGGGAAGGGCCTTTGTATTTAAGTTGGTTGTTATGCACTCTGCTGTGATGCTGAACCTTGCGTTACTGGGGTGTCAAATGCCATAATGGTAGGGGAGCTCTGGAGGCCTAGTGGCAAGAAGCTGCACTGCAATCCCAGAGGCGCACGGTTCAAATCCACCAGATGCTCTGCCGGGAAAGGAGGGACAATCTCCTCCTGTACCTGTCAGATCCTATTTGACAGTACACACACACAAAATAATAATAATAAAAAAATCTAAAAAAAAAAAAGGCCATAATGGTTACCCATGATGGACAGTGTTTGATGGAGCTCACAGTTTAAGACAGTTCTGGAAGCAGGAGTGGCATCCACTTCCTACACAATATGCCTCTGGAAACTATGAACTTTAATAAATGTCGAGTTCTAGAAAGGCTTCAGGCCTTTTTGTTCATAGGGTCGCTATGAGTCATGCTTGACTCGATGGCAATCAACAACTACTACCTGAAAAGGTGGTTCAAACAAACCCAGATGGGTGTTCTAGGTAACACAGCCATTGCAGGGCAGACAGTTAAGAAAGGGTGGGAACTGTGGCAAGATGGATTCAACAGCTTTACCAAGTTGCCTTTAAGATCAACTCCCTTGGGGGAAAAAAAAAAATCAACTCCCTTGGTGAAGTCGAAACAATGTCAATCATTTTATAGACAGTACTAAGTACTAAGGTGGGGAGGTAAATTAGCTAGATGACAAACAAGAATGTAGTCCAAGACTCTCCTAAGACCCTTCCTTGCTCCATTCCTAATATCCACAACATTCATCATCAATAATCACATTTACTTAGCATCTACGGAGAAGAATGAGGAGGAAGGAATTAGGTCTGTGATTCTGATAAGGAAAAGCTTTCTGAAGAATAGCACTGAGACAACGTTGACCTCACACAGACATGGAAGGGAAAATTAATCTTGACACTGCTCAGAGCCCATGCCCAAACTCTGATAGCATTTTCTAGGGTCATTTCAATCGGCACTACACCTGCAATTCTATTGATTGCCACAAGGTGGAGATGGTGGTGTCATAGGCATGGAGCACAGTACTGAAAACCAACGACATTAAAAAACTTCACTCAAGGCGCTGCGGTTTGACAGTGGAGGTGCTGGAGGGAGGTGCGCCTGCGCGCAAGTCAGGGGTCTGTTAGCAGGGCGGACTCTAGGGTCGCAGGCCCGCCCCGGGCTACCCGGAATCACCGGTCTTCCGCCGAGCGGCGCGGGAGACCGGACGGCTGGCTACATGGCTTTAGGTCAGTGAGGCCTGCTAACACCATCACCACCTGGCACGACGTCTCACGACCCCAGGTTAGGGCTCTGTGCCCGTCATCAGACGAACCAGGCAGGTTTTCTATCAGATGCCCCAGCATAATGTTGCTGAAAACACTGTTCCCTGCATATAAAGTACGAGATAACTTGGTTAGAAACAAGTGGCTGGTGTTTAAAACTGAGGATTGTCATAATTATTTAACCTAAGTCCTGTCTTGATAACCTCACTCTGGGTTCTACCAAATCTATAACCATGAAAATTTTGCTGGTTTTTTACTTTGACAATACAGTTATAGATGACAATACTGACACCTCCATTGTAAAGTGTGCACCCGAGAAAAAGCTTCCTGTTCAGCTGGAAAATTCTTACCAAAAAGGATTTTGGACAGAATTTATGGGCAGAGTCTTTAAATATCTGGGAGAAAAAGGCATACGAGAAGAAGAGATGAAAAGAGCAGTGACATCAATACCTTTTACTCCAGGAATGGTGGAGCTTTTAAGCTTTATAAGAAAGCATAAGGATAAATTTGATTGTATCATTATTTCAGATTCAAACTCCATCTTCATAGATTGGGTTTTACAGG